TTCCCTTCTCTCTTTTTTCTTTTTTTTGGCCTTTTGCAACCTGCAAAGGAACCTTTTACTTTACACTTACACCTTTAACTTACACCGAAATACCTTGCAACGCCTGCAACAGCGTTAGCAACATACAATGCTGATTTGCCTCACCAGGAGACCCCCTGTGGGAGGGAGCCATTGGGTTGTGACACCGGGGTCCCAGTATGGCCATGGGGGGTGGGGGGGAAGGACATATATGGAAGTGGGGGTAGCATGCAGAGTTGTTTCCATTATGCTTGTTGACCAAGCGCAATCTTCTCTGTGATTGTCCAGGAATGGGTTCCTGAAAGGATATGTCAGAGAACCCTGTACATAAATAGGAGCGACTGAAAGTCTCCTTCATCCACCTCAATATCACCCAATGGAGGAGCATACGCAGGAAATGGTAGAAGTACTGCAGCACCAGAGGATGGTGATGGTCAGGAGCTCAGGTCTCTGTACTGAGAGATGTTCAGTACCCATGAAGAGTGGTGACTCCAGTTTGTCCGTTACAGATAGATCCTTAGTGTATCTTGTGGTACCAAGTAGGTGACTAGTACTAACGTGGTAGCCAAGGCCAACATTACAGTCAATTGGGGGATGGGGATACTGATGCAGGCACTGATGGTGTCTGGTCCCGCTGCTTGCTTGGTACCGAGGACCGAGAGCAGTTCACCTGCCCATCCCTATATAGCCTCAGTGTCCTGCACGAGGAGGCAAAGGGACCATGCACAGGCCAAACAGAGACAAGTAATGGAAAATCTCCAATCAAGGACTCAAGAGGCCCATGTGCACCTGAAGTTGAGCACTCATAGGGACACCACTCGAAGAAGCAGCATTCTTCTGTCAAAATGTAGTTAATAAGAATCTGAAAATATTAAGTTATATAATTGTTTAAATAAATGTATGTCGTTATAGTGTACTCTCCAAAGTATCAAAAAGATGTACCAAATTTAGTTGGTAAACGCAACTTTCTTTAGAAAACCACTGAAGTACAAATGGAAAAGTTGATTTAAATCATCAATTGTAATCAAGGCTTTCCACTTGGTGATTTAAAATCGATGATTTAAATCAGTCATCCCGGACACAAAAGGACGGTATAATTTCAGCTGATGACCACATGCCACATTTAAAGAACTACCACAATTCTTCACATTTGGACTGCTATAAAGTTGTACACATTGAAAGCTATTTCTTCACCATTAGCAAATGTTGCTTTACTGAGACTTCAATATCTGACAGTACCATCAGTTTTCTTTAACGCCCATAAGCACGTGAAGTAGTGAAAAAATTCTACAAACCTGTCTGCTGTGCAGGCTGTGGCAGTGGTGGGTTTTGCTGTGTGTTGTAATGGACAGCAGTAACTGGTCGATATTGTTGATTGGAGTGTGGATACTGGCCTGGAGCACAATAACAAGCTGGCATCTAAAAAGGAGCAACATTTTGGAGATGCACATTTTTAGGTTTATAAAAGGCAGAGTGCAAAAACACTGAATGCTTGGGAGGGCGGGGGGGGGAAATCACAAAATAAAGGCAATTCTATTTTCTTTGGGTCATACCAAAATAAATAGCGGCTTTCTTTGAGTTTCTCAGCACCCAAATAGGGGGATTTAAGAAAATGATGATGATTAGAATTCCTAGGTCAGTGTTCATAGCAAAAATTTTCAATGTAGACATATAGGAGAGCCTCTAACACTAAGCAAAATAAAATATGTGCAGAGCATGAGAATATATAAAATTTATATTTGATTAGGTTAAATTTGGTTATATTTAATTTAAAAATACCACTATTAATGATACTATATGCTTCCTAAACTCTAATTTTCTAAGTCTTTAGAAGTTACTGGTGGATAGGCATGAAGCTTGGATGACTGCTCATTCCCCGAGAAAACAGAAGCCACTAACTTCAAACCACAGAATTAAGAAAAATCAAATTTACTAACCAAGTCCATTGAAATATAAAATGTTCACAAATGGCACCAAGGATAATCTTTTAAATAGTTGTCTGAGAAGAAAATATAAAGCCTTTGTACCTGTGGTAAAGGTTGCTGCATATATCCCTGTTGCTGCAGCACTTGCTGGTTGACAGGATGGCTGGATGCAGAGTAGCTGGGATTAGGAACTGGTTGGCCTTGTGGTGGTGGCAGAGGTGAGGTTGTTGCTATAATATAGCCAGACTGTTGTGGGGGCTGAAGGACTACAGTAGACTGGAACATGGTGGGGTGTGGATCAGCACCATCAGCAGATGACTGGCGGGCAAGACTCATATGGCTAAATTGTGATCCTAGGTTGTCTTGCTATAATAAAAAAAGGATAAACATTACATTCACAAATATTCAAACTGGGAAGAGTATAGTTACTAGGTAAATTCTTCAGTAAGTGAAAAATTAAAATATGCACCTGTGCAATGACCATATGTTAAAACACTAAAAAAGAATGACAAGGCAAGCTTCAGAACAGAAACAGAACAGTGTGCTAAGAACAGTGTAGTAATTATTAAGGTTAATTGTGGAGAAGTTTTACATACAAATGGGGAGAAACTTAAAAGGTTTAACATCTTAGGCTAGAAACAGATTTTCTTTCATAAAGGAGGCTATCTGGGTTAAATATAGAATTGCTATGAATTAGAATCAGTTTAAACGATGTCAATAACTTTTCAGATCTAATTCCAAAGGGGAGGTGAAAATGTTTAACGCTAATCAAAACAGGATGCATACAACATCACCGTATTTAAGAAAAAAAATCGGATTTTCTAGAGATTGTGTTAATAATGCTACTAGTCTTGAATAAAAAAAGACTGTCCATTAGTCTAGGAGTATATATATAGTACTGCTAATATGATTCCAAGATCAACTGCTAATCCTCAAAATAGGCACAAATGTTCAGTTCTGCATGAGTCCATGTTGTAGTCTTATTTATTATTTGTATGTATTATGGTAATGTCTACAAACCTCAGTCAAGGATTGGGGCCCATTGTGCTAGGCACTGCCAGTGCCCAGTGAAGTTCTGAGTCCTTCATTATTGTAGTCCCAAGCACTTTTTCTACAGTTTATACTAGGGCCTGGAAATAGTACTCATGGCTAACAGCAGTTGCGTTTGGTGCATCATCCAACAGTGATATGGCTATCATCATTCCAAAGAACACATGCAATCACTAGTATTGCATCTTTTGCTAACCAGTAAGCTTCAATTCACACCTTAAACCTGGACTTTCCAAAAAGGCAACAGAACACAGAGATACTGTGCCAAAGCTATATTATGGCCACCTGGCCCTCCTCAGTTAGTCCTGAGGAAGATCATATGGCTGATATGTACACTCTTCACCTGCTAAGGAAATAAAGTATTTGGAAAACTATCTGCATTGCATACCAATACTTTCTTTACCTTTTCTGCCTTCTGTATTTTGTGGAACTACATCCTGTGTTTCATGGTGAAATACCTTTTTCTCAATGCTGAGGATATGTCTAATGAAACCATTAGCAGCTTTCAATTGAACTTAAGAAAACTTATATTTTTACAAGTGAACTTTGAGCTCTTTATTTGCCACTATAAGCCACCTTGGGCTTTTAGTACATTGACTTACGTCCTAAAGACGGCTTACTGACTCAGCTATCCAGCTTAGCCTTTTGCTTTTAGGTTGAACATCTCAATGTCTGCTTTTTAAAATACATAATCTAGAGGAAAGTTGGTTCATAAGGAGACTGAAACATGAATTCTTATACTTATCCACCAAAAACTCGTACAATGTAGGCTGAGGCAGTGCAAGTTATCTAAACTCTGAGCTGGAGAGTTTCCCCTAGAGACATGATATAGTAGTTGAATGGACCATTTAACCTGCTGTTTTTTTGATACTACCAATAAAGAGGCAAACATAACTATCTTTTTAGGAGTTATGGATACCTATAATCTAGATTCTTGGCTGAGACCATCACCCATTTCACTGTGCTGAATGAGTACTAGCCATCAGATAGTACCAAATTTAGGATGCTACCAGAGCAGCCTGCATTTGAACCAGTGATCCATAGGTGAACGGCTTTACATCCATTACTAATCTTCACTGAGTCTCACCAGTCTCCGCTTTAATAAAGTCTAAACATAAACCAGACAAAATAATGGAATAACTGATGGAGCAAAAAAATTCAGAGTGCAGTTATTTTCTTCCTTCAAAACCATACACCCAAATATAGGTAACAGTAATTAATCAAGTGATTTTAATTATACACAGCCTAATGAAGTAAGATAAATATGTACATTCTGTATTAGAGAAATGGGGTTCTGCGCTATTCCAGCACTATTGATCAAAACATTAGCTATATATAAAACTACAAATACATTAAAAGTAGCTACTGAATAACAGAAACATGCATTAGGATGACAAAGCAGAGGTATGGGAGCCAGGAGACCCTCAGTTCTAACCCAGGCTCTGATTCAAATTCCAGCCTTGGACAAGTGACTTATCTCCATCATGTTTTGATTTCCCTATGCTAAACTGGTGAAATGATACATACTTATCTCATAGGCTTATTGTATTACTTAATGTTGGTAAAGCACTTTGAATTTGCCATCATGTATATTTCAAAGGCCTGCTCTGTGCTCACAAATAGATCTGTCTTCTTGAACCAGTGTTGAAAACAGTTTACTGCTTATATGGATGGGATACATTATTTTAATTCACTATATGCTTCTGCCAAATCTAAAGAGCACTTTTTGCATCAGTGCTGAAAAAGTTTTTTCCCCATTCATATTGTTTACAGTACCAGTGCATGATGACTGATTACGGACATCTCTTGTAAGCAGTGAGCCCACCACCCACAAGTTTTCAGGTACAGTAAGGGAGGGGTTTAGTACCTGAAATGCAGCTGAAATCAAAACACTCATCCTCAATAGAAAAAGCCACTTGTAATGTTTTCATGACTCTCCCCCTCACTTTAGAGGTAATAAATAAATAAATGAATAATACTTTAGACAGTGCTTTACAATTTCAAAGTGCTGTACAAAACAAACCAATCATCATGAGGCTGACCTACAAGAGAACAGCCAAAACTCTCCTAACTTGAATGTGTGGTGTGGGGAGTAAACTCAGGATACTGGGGAGAAGAAATAGACAATGGCAACCTAAGAACTTCAGTGCCAATATCAGCAAAGGGCTCCCAATATTGCTACATAACACGAAGGGGGAAATAAAAAAAAACAATAGAAAAAGACTTTAAAAACAGTGAGTAAGAAGCTACTCTTTAAAAGGTAAGGTGAAAAATTAAGGTGGCGAAGGATACCAACAGCAGCTACGTCTGAAACTATATTTAGAGATTTAAAATAAAGTACTTTACATCATCCTGCTTTTATTAGCATACATTCACTGTTTCAATCTCATTCTGGTAAATTTATAGGGGCCTATCCCCATCCCACCAGCATGCATATATATCTATGCTTATTAAGTAATAGTATTTAATATATTTTACACACACTGTATACCACAAACCCTATTTATTAGATTACTACTATATATAATTAACACTCCTAGATTTTTTTAAGAACTGAATATATGTTACTAAATTTCTTTGGTACCATTTTAGTGAATTTCCCTTGTTATGACTAACAGACCACATCAGCCATCAAGATATCCAGAGCAGTTTCCCTTCAAAATATTTGGAATCCCCAGCTCCAGCTCACCTGCTTGTCAGTCAACTTCATCCCTTAACTTTGGCATCAAGAGAAACATACCTGCTCACTCACCTCCCATGAAACCCTAACACTTTAGGCCACACAATCCCAGGGCTGGCATCTGAAGAGGCTGTGTTGGTAAGGAGAGCTAGCCAGTGCACCTGATAGTACACCTTGAGCTCGCCTTTTCATTGGGCAAGGATGTTGGGCATAATGGAGCTCTTCCTACTGCTGTGGCAAAGGGGCTAAAACTAGGCACCATACAAAAAACAACAAAAGGGGCTAAAGGAGGGAAAGCAAAAAGAGAAAGCAACAGCTGAGAAGTAGGGGAAAGAAAAGAAAAATCAAGGGGCATAATAAAATAAATATTGACTGGCTATCGGAGCAACAGTAGTGAAAAAAAAAACCCCTCCATTGTATACATTGCCCTCAAATGTCATGTAGCGTGCAAGGATCTTAGGAACTGGTTTTCCCTCTGGGCACTATTTTACTGCAGTTGACATTGCCACCAGTCAATGTTTGTGTTACTTACACACACACACACACACACACAAGGTGAATAGAAGATATAGTACCACAGTATATTGCTGGGTAGATGAGACTGGCAGGAGCGGGGGTGGATAAGAGACTGTAGAGTATTGAACAGGCTGTGAAGAAGACTGCAGAGACCGGATAGGCTGAAGAAGTAACAGTTTTATAAACAGAGTTAATACCAGAGAAGACAACAAATGAAAGAAAAAAAACCTGAGTAAACTGAGGTATTTTGCAATAGCATATGATAATATAATTTAATAGAAAATTGAAAAACTTCATATAGTAAGAATGTGTTTTTACATGTATCTCCTATCAAGAGGGGCATTTTGCTTATAATTATTAAATAAACTATATGACAAAGCAGCAAATTAAGTATAATTTAAACATGGATAATTTTGCTATTTTCAATAGTTGTATGTAAACAATTTTTGTTTTAAAGGAATAAGTATGTCTATGCATTTTAAATACATATTTCAGTTTTTAAATCCAGAACTAAGCAAGCACAAAAAACAAATCAAAACATGCCATTTTATTATTGAGCAAAGGGTGCATTTTGAAATACAATTGAATTTACCACTCCTAAAGTTTTATATGCATAGTAAGGGCACTAAAAATACCAAAGATTTACCACTACTAATGTTTGCAATATGTGATTAATATAGTATATAAATATAGAAAAAGGTTTTGGCAACTCAGTGTCAGACACAGATACGTCTATAATGCAAGATTATTATGTACGGCAGCAAGCCTATAGGGACTGGGATTATTATGGAGAAGGCAACGACAGCTCTTGGGAGGAGGAAAGAAAATACATGCATTCTGTATTGCTCTTGTACATCCCATACTGGTAACAGGCTGTACAGATGAGTCTGACCAGTTTCAAAAAGACTTAACTCTGTAGCGTATAGCGTAGGTACAGCTTGGACACACACAGGACAGAGGATTTAACACAAGAAAAATAGACTAAGATGACGGTGAAGGTAAAATGCCCATGAATAACTTTTCAACAAATTTGAACAAGGTTGTGTGTCACTACCTAAAGCTGGTGAGGCAAGAGCCTGTACTTAGATGCTTGGAATCACTGCTGTAGAAGTAGGACTATTTTGTGGGGGTTTGGGTCAGCCCTAAAGTGGTCTATTAGCTTCCTCTAACACAAGAATAGGGGGTTAAAACAGATCCAATACTTTAGTGTTATTATACATCACTATGAAATGTATAAATTAATACTTTGAAAGTGTCATAAGGTCATTTCATGATTTAAATTAAGAGAGATTGGGACTGGAAGAAAAAGGAAATGTAGCTCTCCATGTTAAAATGAAATAATTAGTCTAATATATAGTATAGGGAGAGGGCAGAAAGGATAGAGAGTTTGGCCCTTGTTAAAATGTTTACCATTTGAGCCCTGGTTCAGTTACTTTCAATCTGCTAAGCAGTAGCAGCAGTGTTAGTAAGGTGGCGATGCTTGCTACATCCTTGGTATCAGAACCTTGACAGTTCATCTTTCTGCTTTTTATGTGTTTTAGGAAAACGTGACTGCCCTGTCACATCATCTGGAAAACTGGTATGTCTGATGATTAAAAAGAATATCCAGTTACATGTATGTGGCTAGCTAATGCTTCTCTTTGAAAAAATTCCACAACAAATCAGTCTACTATTTTCTTATTATTGGATGGCAAAAAGGCTCAGTTGAGCATCATGTATTTGACATGTGCACCTGTGATAGGATGTGATTAGCTGCTGGTTGCTGCTGAGGTGGTTGCTGGGGCGGTCCAGGCACTTGGGTCCTAACAGGTTGCTGAAGCATAGGAGGATTATACACAACAGGAGTGCCATCGGGGTTAACAAATGGCTGACCTAGAGTGTGGAGAAAAAAAATAAAATAAAAGACATGTTATCTAGGTTAAGGACAGATTGAGATAAATATATTTAAATCCGATGATGTCAAAAATAAAGTCTGATAATATAACACGAGATCTGAATTATTGTATTTTATACTAATTTTTTGTTATGTTACTAAATGCTTGCCATTACAATTAGAACGGCAATTACCAAAGGCCTCATTTGCATGATTTGTAATTAAAAGCCCATACGTTACTGTGGTAAATAGTGATCATGTCCAGAAAATAGTTAGTCATTTACCAAAGGCAAATTTATAGACTAAAATGGATGACCAATATTTATTTGTGTCAGTCTTGAAAGCTCTTTTTCAATTTTAAGGACTGAAAAAAGTATAAGGAGAAGAAGAAGAATTCATTAAACAGTTTTCTGCTCCTTATATCCTTAAGCAGCAATTTAAAAGTGTCTCCCTTATCAGCTAAAATGCCAACCAAGATGTACGGTAATGTAAAAAGAGAAATTATTTCTCTCTCCATAAAACAGTAGTTATAATTACATTGCCATTATTGTCATTAAGAACCATTAAGAGCCATCCTCCCTAAAGTGAATTTATTCAAAACTTTCAGCTGAACTGATATATACTACTATATTCCCATCCCCAACATTGGGGCAGCCTGCCAATGTAAGAGAACCAAAAAGTGAAAATGATTAAAAACTGACTATAAGTAATAGTGAAAATGACGGATTTCAAATTTTGAGCTCAGCAGAGATGCAAAAAGGAAACAGAACAGCAAAAAGCAGAAAAAATAAAACTAGATTTTAAAACTTATCATATTCTAGGGTTCTATTAGTAACAATTAAGTTTACAAAAAAAAATCTGAGAATTTCCATTTAAAGATGAGGGACTGGGCACCAACTTCCTGTCTCATTTCCCTACATCAGCCTGAACCTAACTACTTAATAGTAACAAGAAAGTCTCAGCATTTCCATATAGTCTAGGCACCCATGTGTTTATATGCTAATGAAATCTTTTCAGTTTTACCTGCTGACTAGGCCACATTCCTACAAGGATAGAAATTTAGTTCCCACATGAGGATATTTCAATGAGGGCCATAAGACAGAAGCTAGATTAAGGAGCCCAAATAACACAGATCAAATAGGCTATAGAGGTTTGCATAACAGAGGGATGTAGGAAAGGCCCAACGTTCAGTCTAAGGCTATGTCCAGACTTGGAGCTTAGGGTGTGGTTCCCATCTTGAATAGACATACTCATTCTAGTTCTCAGTGATAGCTGCAGTAGCATGGGCAGCAGTGAGCAGCAGCACAAGTTAGTTGTCCCAAGTATGTACCCATGGGATTCAGGTGGGTTTGTACTTAGGGCAGCTAGCCCGTGCTACCACTGCCACACTATTTTTAGCATGCTAGCTGGATGAAAGCTAGTGTGAGTACGTCTACTTGAGCTGGGAATCACTACCCCAGCTTCAACTGTGGATGTAGCTTAAGACTGGGCCCATTCATTTGATATTTTCCAACTATATTTGATTTGGCTTAACACTTCTCCTTCAACCTCAGGGACTGGGGATCCATGGAGATATTATTCACAGCCTTAGGGAGTCAAGGATTTTTCATCCCCCCATTCCACCCTCCCCCCTCCCCCACACACACACTTTCTAGGCTCACTAAGATCACTCTTGCTCCCCACTGTGCCTAGGAGGGAGAGATGGGGTGGGGGGGGAGAGAGAAGAGCCTTCTCTGACTGTCTGGGAAGAGAGAGAGGAAGCACAATGACTCTCTCACACTGCTAAGTCTGCAGAAATCACTGTCAGGGAGAGTAAGAACTTAACCTGTACTCTTTGAACTCTCTCTAACTCATGTGAAAAGGCAGAGCTAGAAGAGCCATCACTTCTTCCTTAACTGCCCATGAATATCGGTTATTATCTGGGAACTCATCTGAACAGAATGTTGCAGATATTCATTACTGTTCTGGAAGGTTATTAATGTCACTCCACCATTGCTACTGAAGGATCCTTTCCTGTAAACTTATCACACAGGCCTCCTGTAATGAAAGCAAAATTACTGACTGAGAAAAGTATAAATACACCTCTACCCAGATAGAACGCTGTCCTTGGGAGCCAAAAAAAATCTTACCACATTATAGGTGAAACCAAGTTATATCGAACTTGCTTTGATCCGCCGTAGCGCGCAGGCCCCCCGTAGCGCTGCTTTACCGCGTTATATCCAAATTCGTGTTATATCGGGTCACGTTATATCAGGGTAGAGGTATATGTAATTAATAGCCCACACGATTTGAAATTAAGACAGTTTTATAACGTGAATTAAAAGCAGTTTCAGGTACCTGCTCTTAAGTCCTCCTGCCAACTAGTGGGGTTTTCCAATCCCCCCCTGCCTTTTTTTATTATTATTATTATTTAAGAAAAAGGTTTCTCAGTCTCCAGTTGCTATGAGGAAGACCCTCAAACAAAACATAGTAAAACTGACTAACAATACAAGAGCAAAAAGTGAAACTGATCACACACAAAATGCTGTCAAACACACAAAGTAAACAAACTGGAAAAAAGAGAAAGTATTTTTCTCTTTAAATTAAAATTATTTATACCAGTCAATACAATAAAATGATGCAAATATAATTTTCAAGTTGATGTTGTTCTTTTGAATGTGCAATGTTTGCCCAATTGAGTGATACTCTGAAAACTTCTACAGTCATTAAATCCAGTAAATACGGGAGGGCTAAACTGACTGGTAAATTTGAGACATGAGATACTAGGAATGTAGGCTAACAAAGGGATTATTACACCTTAGTTTGAACTATAGTGTAGCTGTTAGTCAGAACCTGGGCAGTGAAATTGTCATCATCTTGCTAGCAAAAAGTCTGTTTACTTATGGCTCTGGCTAAGACTGTTTTAACTCCAGTAGAGATAGAGCCTAAAGGTTCTTAATTTTCTGGTGTGAGCTCTTCACCTTGCTATGACAGTGACCGTGGCAAAATATAGATGAATGGTCAATAGGAACATGGAACATCCACTTAACTATGCAACTGTCGTTTTATGACTAGACCAGGAAAGTCTACAGTGCAGCTGCAGCACCCAGCCCTAAGATACTAAACATGCCATCTTCAGTTTACAATAAGTGACTGGGAGCTGGGAAATGTATGCTATTTCTGGGTACTGGTTTCTCAGTTTATAGCATGGCTGGCTTTAGCCATTCCTTACATAAGGCATAGATGGAGAAACATTTAAGTAACTGATACAACTAACAGAACCATGAATGTAAAATGTTTTCTCTAATATGGCTTACCATATTAGCACATGATTTATTTTAAGGAAAAAATATAGTCAGGGCTGAGAGACAATGGATTTATTTAGTTGAGTACAAAACTAGTTTCAAAAGTGAAATAAATTAATTCCCATTCCCCACCCCACCCCAAAAATATGACCCTGAAGGAAACAAAAAGTACACTGATGAGACACAAAAACAATTTTAAAAAAATGTAACTTGCCATGTATTACAATAAATAAAACAAGGCTGTAGCTTGATAAGAAAGATATCCCCAAATATTTCATTTTCTAGAATAAAAAAATTATCAAAGAACCCTTTGTTTTTATTAACTTCCATTATATAAAAAGCTTCCCCAAATATTAAGACTAATACATTGTTTGTATCATAACATGTATAATACAGTATTGCTGAACTTTTTTGGTAGTTCCTCAAGCATAGACTTAGCCTTACTGTAACCTGTAGGCTAATCCAGTCTGGTAAAAGCAGGTTTCCTCCCATCCCTACTATTGTGAGGTAACCATTATCCTTACATATCAGAACATTTATATTAAGTGCACTGAGCAAACACTAAAAACCACACAACACTGAAAAAGTTGGGGGGGGGGGGAAGAGATGGAAGGAAAAGACAACACTACAATACACTTACAAGTTAAACAATTTACACGTTATTCCAAAGTTCCAAACCATAATAAAAATGTCCACAACTGGATACCAACCTGTTTGAGGGTTGATCAGAATACTGCCAGGTGGTATGCCTGCCGCTTCCAAGGGAAGCAAAAAGAAGCTAGTGCTAGGAGGTGTCACTTGCCCACTTATGCCACCATCAAAGGAAAGAGATTTACTAGTGCTGACAGTTGGATAGACAGCAGGTGTGCCATGAGAAGGCTGGCTTAGAGCTGTGACTGGAAGAGGCTGCTGGGTGTGAGAAAGAGAACCCGTGGATGACCCTACACTACTAGAAGACTCTGAACCTAGGAAAGGAGTAATGAGAAATTGTTTTTACCTAGAGTCAGAAACATCATGCTCATTTAAATATATAAATTTTAAAAGCTTACCCTTAAACAACAGCATGTAACTACAGTATTAAACTATGGATTTTTCAATACAGCCTGAGTAGAGCACATCTATTACAAGCGTCTTTCTGTAAACTCTGGGACTGATTCTATACTGCCTTGATCTTTGTTTAGTCTTTTGCAACACAGCAAAGTGAATATGAAATCAAAATGGTAGCATATTATACACACTTTGCACAGGTGCCAATGACTACATAAAATGTAAGGAACTGGAGAACCAGACCCTGAGTTCTTTGGCAGCCGAAGCATGCAACTAAAAGCAATCTTCCAATAACCAGCCATCGAAAAGTCCCTAAAACATGTCTCTAGGTATTTTTGAGCAGCACTTGTCTTTTCCTAAAGTCCCCTTTGAATATACAGTTCATAATATTTGCTATTAGACCTTTGTTATAATAGTTGCATAACATGCAGGTGCAGAAAATTAATGTTTAAGCATAAGAAATCTTAATCAACAGCCACTAAATAATCTAGAAGAGAAAACAAGAATCAAAACAAAGCTGTGATGAAAATTATGTGTCATTTAAAAATCAATGCAACTATTTTAAAATTATTTGAGCTGCCTTTACAGGAAATTATAAATACCGTATATACTTGATCATAAGCCGGTTCATTTATAAGACAATCCCCCCAAGATGGATAAGTAAAAATGGAAAATTTTTATGACCCGTTCATAAGGTGACTCTATAATTCAGGGGTCAGCAAACTTTGGCTCCCGGGCCATCAGGATAAGCCATTGGTGGGCTGAGATGTTTTGTTTACCTCAAGCATCCTCAGGCACGGAGGTAAACCTAAGTAAACAAAAGTGACCTGGCCTGCCAGCTGCTTACCCTGATGGGCCAGGACAGAAACTGGTGGGGACCTTTCTGTGGGGGACGTGGGGGGGGGAATCTGGGGGTCAGGGGAGCCTGATGACCACCCTCCACATGACCAGACCCCCACACTCTTCCCATCCCATCCCTTCTCACCTGGCTGGAGCTGCTCCGGCAGGCTGGACAGCACGGCTGCAGCCTGCTCCGGCAGGCCAGACCAGACGGCGTGGCCACGTTTCAGTGGGCTGGGCGGCACGGCCGCAGCATGCTCTCGGGGGCGGGGCCAAGCGGCATAGCTGCAGCCTGCCAGCCCTGGAGCTAGCAGCTGCTTTGGAGGCTGGGGGGGGGGGGGTAAGGGAGCGTGGCCAGAAGTGGAGAGATTCTGGCCACGCCTCTTCCCTTCTGGCCCTGCTGCCTCTCCTTGCTCCCTCTGTTGGGGGGAGGGGCTGTGTCCCACCTCTCCCTCTCTATACCCATTCATAAACCAACCCCCTTCTCTGGTGCTTCCCTTTTTTATTAAAAAAATTCAGCTTATAAACAAATATATATGGTACTTTATATTTGTATTGCATTTTTTACCCATACATCTCAAAGCAGTTAAAGGTAAATATTATTAACTTCATTTTACAGATGAGGTAACTGAGGTACAAAGAGATTAAGTAAATTGCCCAATCCACAATCACTGTATCCTAGTGCTATGATCAATCGCCACTTGCCCATAGTCCTTTTCTTGATTTCACAGTTTTCTTACATCTGCATCAGCTTCTAGATTATGTAGAGACATTAGATTCATCTTTCACTATGCTGACTTCAATAAAAGTTTATACATTTAGGCCTATATTTCTTTATTTACTTTAAATCACCACAACCTATGGATGCAGTGAAACAACCACCACCAATACTGACCTTTTCAAGTTAGGGTCCCATCTTTCAGAAATCAAAATAAAAGTTTTCATTTTTAGCAAGATATTTTCTTCTAATTTGGTGTGAGAAAATCTTTCTATAATGAATCTGATCTAGATTATGGTACAACTGTAATTGACTATCAAAAGTCACCATCAAAAAATGCTATTCCATTGCTAAACCAAATAGCAAAAATTTATGCCAGAGATTTTGAAATGTATACAAAGTACTAAAGATAAACATTTCTCAACAAAATTTTATCAGATCTTCATTTCATACAGAAATTCTGCTTATGATATTAATATCTCCTGTGTTATTGCAATATGCTTTAATGTACTTTATTTCTCTTTTATATTTTGGTGGGGTAGTGGGGGTTTAGTGTTTAATGGCAAATGTTTAATGGATCCTCGCTGAAGACAGGGTTTATAAGTACTGACTAAAGCCTAGCATAATACAGACAAGCACTCACATCCTTTTACTTTCCTACACAGCACTACCTATAATCTTAACCTCTACACTCACTTGTTTAGTTTAGGCCCTGAAACTCCCCAGTGCAGAGAATGCCAATTGTGTCATATTGGCTGATCACTTTAGAATACGGGTGACATGTCCAATATGCACTACATAGGCTACCAAATTTGTTTCACTTTCTACCGGAACAGGATCTGAAGCCAGGTCTTCTGAAGCAGACAAAATACTGTTTATAGATGCAGAATAAATTACAAGCTAGCACACCTCTGACTCACAGAATCTCATAGAATGAGTACGTAGTTCAATCTTCTGCAGTAAGACAGTTTACTATGGTGAAAATTCACATTATTGGGGTTTATTCTGAATTAAGTGTATACTTCATTTCTAACACTGCCAGTTAGAAACAATGGAACAAATATGAATAATAATCCACAGGCTTTATTACTGAATTGGTTCTAATTAAAGGGATACCAATGGGATATCAACATACAGTTATCTACAAATTTGCCATGCAGCTTTGACTGAAGAGATGAACTCACACTGAAACACATCTGAACCGTAACTCTGTTCCCCCGCACCATAGTAGTAAATTGTTTTATTCTGACAAGTATTTCTACATACTTTCACAGATATGGAATAAATTCCACTAGCTAGCAAAGGCCTTTTATAACTTGCTTCTGGGTTTACAACTAGAGTTCCAAGATGTTCATTTCAAATATGAATTATATTTTTATACAAAGTTAAACACACAATGGGCCTAATCCTGTAGCCAGTCTTAGTATGCAACACCCATTGCAGTCAAGAGGCTTTCTGCGCACAGAGGAGTTACAAGATTGGGCACTTTCCCTACGTATACATATGCAGTGTGTATTAACTATCAGGCAAACTGGTACTTTGCTGCTACATAAAACTGTTTACTTGTACAGATTTATTATACCTGTCTTAGACAGCTTGCCTGTGCTTTTGCTGCTTCCAGAGCTATCTCCTCTTGTCAGAACTGAAATCCCACTGAAGCTGCTGGCTTTTGTTACAACTGGCTTCAGATTGCGGATGGAACTATCAGAGTCCGTGCTGCTCCAGGGTCGGGGTTCAGAGTACTGCAGCTCATTCTCAGTACTGCTTTGATGGCTGTTGGCTGATCTCCCTGAAGCTTCTTTATTGACTCTGTAATTTATAAACTAAACTTTTAATGCATGCATTGTTTGCAACGTAAGGAAGAAAAATTAAGGTGAAATGCATGAAGAATACTTTGAGATTCAAAATAATGCATTAAATACCTAAATATCTGCCGCCTTTGCTGTGTACTATTAGTTTCCTCCTCTTGGATTCTGTAGACATTTTTAACAAGAGAGCTTAGTATTTATTAAGAAAATGTAAATAGGAACCAATTTAAATTGTGAATACTCTTACCTTCTGTCAATAAGATAATTCTCTTGGGAACACAGGGCCTGGAAAAAAAAGTATACAATTTAATTTTAATTATTTTTTTAAATGATGCATAGAGACTCTAATCAAGACGAGACTATGGTGTTATTTTTCTACTTCGATACTCAGCGTCATCCAGCTCTTCCCGTATAGTATTCCGATCCTCTTTTGTATTGACTATGCCTCCCAACTTTGTATCGTCCGCAGTTTTCATTAGCACGCTCTTACTTTTTGAGCCAAGATAATAAATGAAAACATAGCGACTCCAAGGGGGGGGTGGGGGGGTGGGGTTAGGTTCCAGGGAAATTTTTTTCTCCAGACAAAAAATGATATATTATATAGATATACACACAGTATACGTTTTAAACAAACAATTTAATACTGTTCACAGCTATGATGATTGTGAAGCTGGGTTGAGGTGGTGAAGTTAGAGGGTGGAAGTGAGAGGGATATTTCCCAGGGAATGCCTTGCTGCTAAATGATGAACTAGCACTCGGCTGAGCCCTCAAGCGTTAACACATTGTTAATGTAGCCTCTCACACAAGGCAGCACAAACACGAGGGAGGGAAGACAACATAGGAGAGACAGACACACAACTTGTGGGGGGGGGGGCGGGAGAAGAGAGATGCACACTGCCCCTTTAAGTAAGCTGACACCCTCTTAAGTGTATTGTCTTTTTAAGTGGATCAGGAAGTTAAGACAGCAGCTGCTGCCCCTGGCTCTCTCTCCGTCCATGTCCCCTCCCTGCTCTATATGGAGAAGGGGTAAGTGGGATGCAGGGGGGGGGGGGAAGACGACCCGTGACATTGGCCCCT